CTGGGGGCAGGAACACTGTTCCTTTTGGTCTTGTGAATAGGAACAATTCCTGTGCCTTTTCTCCCTCACTGGTAAGGGTGACTGTAGCTAATCAGGATTATTGAGTATTAACCATGTGCTGGGTGCTGTGCTGAATGCTCCAATTGCATTATCTCATTTGATCCTTCTGTCTCCTGCAGGAGGTAGGCACTATTATTATCTCCTTTCAGGCAATTTGCCCAGTGGTAATGTAGCTAGTGAGAAGAACTAAGATGGAATCCAAGTCCACCCACCTCTAGATCCTGCACTCTTAACCGCTGGGCAGCACTGCTGCCCACCTCTCTCATTGGATGGGCACAGGTCTCTCTGTGCTGTCTGCTCTAGGCTCTGGATTCTGGGGAGAGTAGGATGGGGAAGGAGGACAACTCTCCCAGTATAAAGGCCTTCCCTCGTGATTCCACCTCTCCCTTTTTTCTGTCTCCCACTCCCAGAAGTGGCTTGCCTCCTCCTTTCTGCTGCCACTACCATTCAGCCAGGGCTGCTTTCATTCTTCACAGATGTTGGGACAGGCTATGGCTACTTAGTTACGTTCCTACCCTCCTGTCCTTAAAGTTAGCACAAGGTCCCTTTCAGGCTTTCTAAGAGTTTTTAATTTGTTTGTTTTTAAACCTAGACCAGCAATGTAAAGAACAGGCATGGATGCCAATGACAGGCCTTTGAGTGGCACCCAGGAATTGTGGTTTTCCTGGGCATCCCAGCACAGGATGGGAGTAGAGGTGGTGAGGAGAGAATTGGGTTAGATGGAGTCTGGGGATGCAGAGTAAGTTCACCTCCTTCCTCCTTGCTTGGAGAGGGAGGGAGGGTCCTCATCACTTTTGCTACCTGTGCAGGTAGGTGGACCTGTCCAGTGGGCAGCCAGTGGGAAGCAGAGGAGGTTCAGTTCAGTGATGGTGTTTAGCCTCTACTGTGTGCCCTGTGCTGCTGAGTTCATGGAGTACAAAGATGATTCTTGGAGCCTACCTCTAGTAGAGGATACAGAGGCAGGAAAGGGTAATTTCAATTTCAGTAGGGTTAAGATGGAGGTGAACACAGGAGAGGCCACTAAGCCCAGTGTTGAGGTGACATTTGAGCTGAGTTTCAGTGGTCAAGTAAGGGCCTTGTGAGGAGAGATGGGAAGGTTGTATCAGTCTGAAGGAGTGGCATCAGCAAAACCATGGAAGCATGGAGTGTAAGCGTGGTGTATTGAGGGGACCTACAAGGAGTGGTACGAGTTGCCACATGCCTCCAACAAAAGAGTTCCTGACACGTGGTAGACTCTTAAATGTCATTTCAATAAATGGAGATGGAGGATGATAAGGTGTAGAGGATGAGTTGAGTCCGAAGCTATGCATGGGCATCAGTAGTAATACACACCTGGAATGTGTTATATGGTTACTACATGCCAGGCACATATGCTTAGTACTTTTCTACTAACTTAGTTCATCCTCACGTGAGCCGTATGAAGTAGATATTATTGTCTCTATTTTTTGTGAGGAAAGTGAGGCCCAGAGAGGCTCGGTAATTTGTCCAAGGTCACACAGCTAGTAAATGACAGAGCTGGGATTTGCAACTAGTTCCAGGTTCTTTTTTTTTTTTTTTTTTTTTTTTTTTTTAGGGTTTCACTAGGTTGCCCAGGCTAGTCTCATACTCCTGGCCTCAAGCAGTCCTTCTGCCTCAGCCTCCCAAAGTGTTGGGATTATCGACGTGAGCCACTGTGTCCAGCCGGTCCTGTTTTTTTAACCACTGCTCTGTGTTGCCTTTCTGAAGGCTATAAGCGTGATGACATGGTCAAATCTCCTTTTTAAATAGACAACACTGGCTGGCATGCAGTGGGTGGATTTGAGGGGGAAAGAGGCCCAATGGCCTGCCAGGGCTGTATAAGTCAGAGATGCTTACCTTTGGGCTGTTGAGAGCATGGCCACTGAGGAAGCACCTCTTAGAAGGCCCTCAGTACTAACACATGCGTGTGGTTCCTCCAATGTTATTGCCGCTTTGTCTCATCTTGAAAAGAATTCTAGATTTGGGGAGATGTCCCAGTGGTACCATCTCAAAGAGCTGCTTGAAGACAAGTTAAAGGATCCTGATGGAAGGGGCAGGCTGGAATTTGGCTACACACAGGCATCTAGTTCAACATAAATAGGAAAGAGAGGAAAAATAGGATGTTCCCAAAGGACCCCAAACTCTATGTCTGTCTGAACTCGCAGGCCTTTTTTTTTTTTTTAAGCAGCAGCATCTGTTTTTGCCCCCCATTGGCCATTAAAAATAATAGATAAAATTTTGGTGTGTATTGTGCGCCAGCTCTGTGTAAGCACTGAGACAGTCTCACTTAACACGTAGAACTCTGTGGAGGTTGATCTTATTAGAGATGGGGAAGCTGAGGATCAGGGTGTTTTCGTAACTTGCTGAAAGTCATGCAGCTAGAAAGGAGTGGACCTGGTTTGTGTGAGTCCAGAGCCCACTTCTTTTCCAGTCTTCACCTCCTCTCAGACACCCCATGGAAACAACAACACAGAGGCACGCCTTGGGACCAGCCTTGTCCCGTGTCCTTCCTGTAGAGAGTCCCACTTCTCGGGTCAGTTTCCGTGGCTCGGCATGTGGTGGTCCAGCCTTGCTTCCACATCAATCCTCACGTTCCTCTGTGGCTTAACGAAAGCGTCCCACCTCCCGCCCCTCCATCCTGGTGGCACTCAGAAGGTTCTGTTTTGAGTTTCAGCGGCAATTACTCCCTTGTGGGGAAAGCCTGTTGGCCAGGGAGGCGGGGGCGGGTGATGCTGGCCAGGTTGGCATGTGCTCTGTGTGCATTTGGCTCTCGAGGTGTTGTATCGAAGATCTTTGTTTTTAATCATAATATCTCACATGTTTTCTTTCCGTGCTGCTCATTGTAAGCTAGCTAGGGGCGGCGGCAAATCTTCCTTTAATTTCCAACGTGATGGATTATTAGTTCACTGAAAATGGTGTTTCATTTGCACATGTGCCCTGAGGCTTTTAAATATCAAGCTCATTTGATGATTGTTGGGAATCAATTTAGACTCCACGGTTACGTTCTGTGAGTTGGACTCATGAAGCACCATTAACAGGGGCTAAAGTTCAAAAATTAGAATGAGTTCAACTCCATACTCTTAATTTCTTCCTTTAAAAAAAAAAATCAATTTTCTTTCCTGAGAATTGACCCAAGAAGCTTTTAAAATTTTTGCTTAAAAGGGAAGAAGACAATGCAGATGATGAGTTTTTGGTCCCCACCTCTCAGCTTGTTCCTCTCATGCAGCCTGCTTTTCCCCTTTCTCAGCCCACAGGCCTTTTTTTTTTCTTTTTTTTTGAGATGGAGTCTCGCTCTGTCGCCAGGCTGGAGTTCAGTGGCGTGATCTCGGCTCACTGCAAGCTCCGCCTCCCAGGCTCAAGTGATTCTCCTGCCTCAGCCTCCCAGGTAGCTCAGACTACAGGTGTGTGCCACCATACCTAGCTAATTTTTGTATTTTTTGTAGAGATGGGGTTTCACCATATTGGCCAGGATGGTCTTACTCTCTTGACCTCATGATCCGCCCATCTCAGGCTCCCAAAGTGCTGGGACTACAGGCGTGAACCACTGCCCCTGGACCTATAGGCCTTTCTTGATCCTGCTTCACTTTGCTTTCTACTTACCTCCTCTCATTTCTTCTAGTTTGTCCTGTACCAGTTGAACAAGATTCATATTTCAGCAAGCCACTTTTTCTCCCTTTTTCTTTTCTTCTTTTTTTTTTAATGCTCTGTGACACAGTCTGGAATGCAGTTGGAGTGAACACTGTGCACTGCAGCCTCAACCTCCTGGGCTCAAGTAATCCTCCCGCCTCAGCCTCTCAGGTAGCTGGGATCACAGGCGCATGCTAATTTTTTATTAGCCATGCCTGGCTAATTTTTTAATTTTTTTGTAGACATGAGGTCTTGCCATGTTGTCCAGGCTGGTCTTAAAATCCTTGGCTCAAGCATTCCTGTTTCAAAGTGCTAGGATTATAGGTGTGAGCCACCGCACCTGGCTTTTCCTTTTTTCTTCTTAGGAACTGAGTCCCCTCTCTAGGATGCCTGTTTATTCATATTTAAGAGCAATGGGGAGCAGAGTGACCCTGCCACAGCGAAGTGTTAAGGCCTCTTGTCTAGGCCTTCCAGAGCCTTTCCAGCACCAGACAGCCTGGGCCATTGCTTATGTGGTAAATTTTTCTCTTGTCTTTTTAGATTCAGAGCTGTGGTAAGGATGGAATGTGCGTGTGTGTGTGTGTGACACACTCGCATTTAATACAAACGAGAAATGCTTATTTCACAGAAGGTAGCTTTGAATAAGTTTTGGGATTCAGATTTGAAGCTGAGCATAACCAGAAACTTCTGCCTGTAAACTTTTTTTTGGGGTTTCCTTCAGAGGAGAAGTGAGAGAAGAAATAATTCTACTCTGGGGAAATGCATAATTTAGAAGCTGTCTGCATGTCTAAGAAAACAGACTCTGTATCTGCTCTCTAAACTCAGACTGGCAGCCAGGTCATTGTTTCTTTTTCTCCCCTCTGTGTTTGTGTAAGACGAATGGGTCTGGTGTTCTGTGTGCTCCCCAGCGGGCAGCTAAGGCTGTGGACTCCAGCAGCATTTGGCCTGGGGGAAACCTACTGCTTGTTTTCCCCTGCCTGTCTTTCCTGTTTCCTTACTCTATAACTCACCACCCCTTCCTTTCCTGGACGTGCTGTCTATCCTGAGAATGGAACAGGAATATTAGAAAGGTTGAAGGGCCAGGTGCGGTGGCTCACACCTGTAATCCCAGCACTTTGGGAGGCCGAGGCGGGTTGATCACCTGATGTCAGGAGTTCAAGACCAGTCTTGCCAACATGGTGAAACCCCGTCTCTACTAAAAATACAAAAATTAGCCAGGCGTGGTGGTGGGCACCTGTAATCCTAGCTACCTGGGAGGCTAAGGTAGGAGTATTGCTTGAACCCGGGAGGTGGAGGTTGTCGTGAGCCAAGATTATGCCACTGTACTCTAGCCTGGAAGACAGAGTGAGACTGTCTCAAAAAAGAAGGAAAAAGGAAGGTTGAGGGTATTTCAGGAAACTCCAAGCGGAGTACTTCGCTCTACCACCTTTCTACCTGTAACACTATGCATTGGTCTTCTGTGGACTGTCTTGTCATTCACCTTACCTGCTACTCAGAGTGTGCCCAGGGTGTGATGAAGGGGTTCTGGATCCAAAAGTTTATGGATCTTTCGTCCTGTCTCCTGTGATGGCCAGGCCTAACTCTGAGGCAGAGCCGAGAGAATTATTTCCCACTTCCATTTCCTTCAAGTGTTGCTATAATGTTCACTATAACCTGATTTTACATCTTTAAAACTAGAGGTGGGAGGCTGAGCAGGGGCGACATCGTACCTTGGCCCCTGGAGATCTGAATCCCTTCAACAGTCAGATAACTCACATATAATTGGCGCATGTGGAGCCTCCTTGGCTCAGGGCTGCAAAAGAGGAGTGCTCTCACTGTGGAATAAGGGGTGGTGACTGATACTGTCCTTCAGCCTAGTGCTAGGTAGTGCTGTTGGCCACTCAGGACGATATAAAGTGTCCCAGAAGTATGGCGGCCTCAGTGACTGCTTTGGTGGGAAGGATTCCAGGGAAGATGGCAGCTTTGCTTTGGAAGATTTGGTTCCAGGGAGGTTTAGAGGAAAAAGAGGATGATGATTTGCAGGCTTTCTCTAAAGATCCAGATGGATCCCAGACGTAGTCCAGCCAGGAAGATCTGATTTTGTTTATCTTCCTTCCCCATCTCCCTAAATAATTTTATCTTCAAAGCATGACGCAGGTGTTAATTAACACTCCCCACTCTCCTGGGAGGTAGGCAAGTGGAAACACCACCCCTATTAGTGAAGCCCAGGGGATAGCAGGTGCGGAAGCCTCCGGCAGGTGAGCCACAGGGAAGCAGAGGAGTCTCAGACCTTGTGGCCCTGCCCTCAGACCTTTATTTGGACTCGCTGCTCACTTAGTTACCTTGGCACCACCTCGCTTTCTCAGTGTCCTTGGTTCCCAGTAAAAGAGCTGAGGCTGTGGTAGAAAAGATGTATGGTACTATGGGATGAATAATGGGAAGTCAAAGGGCTGGGAAGGAATTCTGGTAAAATTCACTGTTACTGTGAATTTTAGATGCAGGATTCTGATTATGCCATCGATTTCATTCATTTGGTTTAAAAAAATAATGTACTATTTACTTCTAAGTGAGGTGTATTGCAGAGAGAATCACTTCTTCGGAAAGAGCTGGCTTACCACTAGGGATCCCGCTGATTGGGAACTTGATCCTTTATATCCCATGCTCAATCTCTAAAGCAAAGCCTGGAGTGTGGGGTTTGCTGCCTCTGCAGGTGATGGCTTCAAGCGTTGGACTCTCGACATCTGGAAATGGATGAGAAACCCAGGTGTGACTGTTGGATGTGGTGAACCTCTAGAGGCTAAACTTTAACTTCTCCTTTAACCACTTGCCTTGGTTGGCTCAGGAGAGGGGGCCCTGAGGAGTCCTCTCCCTGGGGCTGTAGGTGGTAGCACGTCTTCAAGCCTGATGTTATCTAGGGCTGCCTGGGAATGATGATAATGCATGTGCTGGGTGTCTAATGAAACTGCTGGGATGATACTGAACTTCCCACTCCAGAAAAGCAGCGAGACTGGAGTCTCCAGTGGTTTCTTTCTCATTCATTGGGTATCTTGGGCGTAATACAAGGAACAGAGAAGTGGGTCATTTGATCCTGTAAGTGTTGCCTTCTTCATGGGTAGCAGTTGGATTCTGCTTGCTTTGTAGGGAGCCCTGCTCCATCAGCCAATGTTAGTCCTCTTTCCTTGATGTTACAGGCTGCTGAGAACTAGCCCTAGACCTCCGCGTGAGGGTTCTTCTGCCGAAGACATCACCAGTGTGTGGAGCCTGCCCCACACCCACCCGCTGCCAAACCACGGCCTTTACCTGTGTCTTCCGGTGTTTCCCGTGCGACCCATCCTGTGGGAGTGCCTCGTGGGCTGCCCCAGAGTTCACCCCACACTCAGCAGCGCCAATGGTGAAGATGACAAGATCAAAGACTTTCCAGGCATATCTGCCTTCCTGCCACCGGACCTACAGCTGCATTCACTGCAGAGCTCACTTGGCCAATCATGATGAACTAATTTCCAAGGTACATGTTTCCAGCAGGCCTTCCTTGCCTACCTCGGGGAGGGCGCTTAGTGCTCTTAAGGTTGCAGAGGTTTACAGGCTCTCTCAAGAATGTTTGTACTCCATCTTTGTACAGGGAGGGCTGACCCACATGACTGTCTCGCTCAACTGAGAAGTAACTCTGAGTTGGAGGGACAGAGTAGTAGTTTAATTTGTTATTTTGGAAATGAGGTGTCATCCTTGTTGGAGGCTTTGGGAGCTGGCAGCTTGCAGGCCAGAAAAGGGAAGGGCTGGGGATGGATGGGAGCCTTGTGCTCAGCTTGCTTGGTTTAGGTTGGCGGACGAAGAGTGAAGAGTGCTCCCTGCTCAGAAGGTGAATTCTAAGAAAGCAGGAGGATGTCTTATAAGAGGGGTTCCTTAGCAAGAAGAGAGAGCCCCCCAGGAAGTTGTAAGACTGTGGAGTTACTAAAGTGCGTGGCCTTTGGCAGGGACCAAAAGTGGCTTGTTGAAGAGCAGACCGTCTGGCCTGTGGGGGCCTTTAGGGCTTATACATGAGTAATAATGGCATGACATTTGATCATGATCAGAAGAATGGAACCCGATTTTTCCTGAGGTGCTTAGGCAGCTGCTTTCTAAAGATGGGGCTGGGGGATTATTAAGTAAATAAACCAACATGCCAGTTGTGCAATTCAGGAAATGGATCCTTCAGGCAGCATTCTCAGGGGAACTGCTTCCCTCCTGGCCCTAGATTCCCAGGGGAAGAGAAACAGGTTTTACTAGGCTGCACGACAAAGAGAAAGAGATCATGGGAGACTTTTCCCTTACAAAAGCATCTTTACCCAGAACCAGGACTTCACGCCATTGAAGTAAAAACAAACCAACCCACCTCTACACAGACCCAGATGAAGTTTTTTGTTTTGTTTTTAAATCGGTGTTCCTCATCTGTTTACAAGACCTGCTGGAAAAGGTGGCTGTTGCTTTCTTTGTCTCTGGTTTGGTAGCCCCAGCCAGAGAGGAATGAAGGATCTAGTCAGCTCTTGTAGAACAGTCCTCTCCAACTGGCTAATTTGACCTAGGAGGTGAAGAAGGCTGCCCAAATAACCACATCTGTAGTAGTAAGGCTTTTCAAATCAGGCCTGAGGACCGAACCCCCTATTCTAGCCTATTCTCCAGGGTCTAAGGTGACCACAGAGCTTGAAGCATACAGCCCCTTAGAGTCCTATCCTCTGGCCAGACTTGTGAATCTGCCCCACTTTCTTTTCTTTATGGTTCTGTTAATTCCTCTCCTTTACGCTGCTTACATTTCAGCCAGCCTTTAGCTTCCTTCTCAGCTTCCCTTTGAATTTTGGGGAACCCCTTGAGTCTGGAAGTTTGAATGTGAGAAGGTGTCAGTGAGAGAAGAGAGGAGTTGGTCTCTTGGGTGTTGGAATTGGGTTTGCAAAGTGGGAGGGGAATTGTGAGTTGACGGGTTTTGTTTTGTTTTGTTTTTTTTTTTTTGGAAATCTCTAGAGAAATTATTTGCCTATATCTACTGGGAAAGCCAAGGCATCATTTTTTTAATACAAGGAACCAGTGCTATGTATCATAAGAAATTGAGGTACCAATAAGGTATTTTAGCACCCTCTATGTACTAAAAACTGCAGCTTGACACTTTATAAATGTTATCTTAACCTTCGTATGAAGTCTTTAAGGTAGGTGACATGAGTCATATTTTATGCGGATGAAGAAGCTGAAACTCATAAAACTTGTCCAAGATGTCAAATCAGAGGTTCAGAGAAGAGTGATTACTTTGAGTGGGTGTTCAGGAGGGATTGCTGGAGGAGGTGGTTCTTTGATCTGGGCCTTGTAAAATGGGCAGAAGTTGAATATGTGGAGATGGTAATGGCCTTCAGAATTTATGTCTTATCTCTTTGGCCTAGTGTACAGGGCCTTTGACAATTTGGCAGAGTCATGACTTTTTTGTTAGGTCTCCAGCCAGCTCTCCACTTTGTTTCAGCCACTTGGAACCAAGCCACATTCCCTGAATATGCAGGTATGGGTGTTTCAGGGCTGTGTGCCTTAGTCAAGAGTGTCCCTTCTTCTTCATCTCCCTCCTTCACTCCTTTCTCCTGAGCTCTTCTTCTACGTCCTTGGGCATGGCCTATATCTGCTTTACGTCTCAGGGTCAGAACCTGACCCATGGCAAGATCTCAGTAAATGATAAATGAATAGATGGAGGTTGAGCCTTGGAGAAGACAAGTAATGAGAAAAAAAAAATACTTTGTTGGCCTCATGTCCTTCCTGTCCCTTTTGGGGCAGAAAGGCTCGTTCACAAGTCCAGGCCAAAGTCAGCACAGGCTTCAGTTTCATTGGCTCAGGCCGGTACACAGATGGGGTGCATTAGAGCTTGATGATTTAAAGGGTTGGGTGAAATGCCTGGCTGTGGGGAGAGCTGAGGGAGCTGCGGCTGGCATTGCACAAAGGTTCCTTTATTTCACTCCACAGCCACCCCCGGCGTTAAATAATCTATAGATTCTTATGCAGGTCTGCCTAATGGAAAGATCATTGCCCCAGCCTCCTCCTTGGAAAATAGGCCTTTCTTTTCATTTTTCCCCCCCTCCTCTTCCATTTAAGAAAGTTCAAGGAGAGAATGTCTCTCCTGTTCTCCTCTCTTGACTTAATCTCCTATGCAGTTTCAGAATCTGCCCAGTGGGAGTTAGGAGCTGGGAAGCAGATAACTGGAGCTGGATCAGCAGTGTAATTAAATGATACTTTGTACTGGTAATAGGGCCTTTCATCTGAAAGCTTGACATTCGTTTGGTGCAAAAAAAAAAAAAAAAAGAAAGAAAGAAAGAAAAAGAAAAAAAGAGAAAAAAAATGAGTGCTTTCATTATGAAGAAGGGGATACAAAGGTCTGAGTGTGTGACCAGCAGTGAACTGGGACTAGGACTGGAACTTCAGGCTCCCTTCTATCAGTGTGCCTAAGCCTACATGGAAGTGTAGAGTTACAAAGTTTTTAAAAACAAATGGAGTCTGTATTGCCATGGTGGTGGAAAGAATCCCGTACCAGGCTTTCTACCTTCATAGCTTGCTCTAGATCCCTAGAGGCCTAGTTACGTGCAATCAGCTGTCCAACTTCCAAGTCTCAGTTTCTCGCTCATAAAATGGGTAAAATAATGTTTGCTATGTTTAATGCTGTGTTAGTCCATTAGGGCTACTAAAACAACATATGATAGACTAGTTAGCTTGTAAACAACAGAAGTTTATTTCTCACAGTTCTGGAGGCTGGGAAGTCCAAGTTCAAGACAACACGAGATTCAGTCTGGTGAGGCCCTGCTTTCTGGTTCACAGACAGCTCCTTCACACTTAATCTGACACAGTAGAAGGGAAGGGTCTCTCTCTGGCCTCTTTATAAGGACACTAATCCCATTCACAAGAGCTTTGGCCTGATGACCTGATCACCTCCCAAAGGCCTGATCTCCTCCTACCATCATCTTTGGGGTGAGCATTTCAACATATGAATATTGGGGAGACATTCAGACCATAGCAGATGTCTCTAGCAGCCAGCACCTAGTGTGTGCTCATGGTGTGCTATCCCAATAACAGTCCTGAGGAGTAGGCATACACCTTACTGGGGGAGCAGGTTTATCTCATTGCATTGTTATGAGGCTCAGATGAGATCATGGATGTGTGGGTGGTTTGCAAATCACAAACCTCTATGTAAATATAAAGTAGTCTGTTTGCTTCTCTTGGCCTTACTGTCCAAAAGAAAAGAACAGAAAGGCAAGGGGGTGGATTGGAGGGAATTATTCCTGCCTGACACCAACGAGTTTTAGTTTGGCTAAGATGGGTTCACTTGGTACCTGAGGCACAAGAGTTGGATATGAGAAGGGGTAATAGCAAGCCAAGCGTGTCTGTAGAAAGGTAACATGGCGCCGGGCGCGGTGGCTCAAGCCTGTAATCCCAGCACTTTGGGAGGCCGAGATGGGCGGATCACGAGGTCAGGAGATCGAGACCATCCTGGCTAAAGCGATGAAACCCTGTCTCTACTAAAAAAATACAAAAAAACTAGCCAGGCGAGGTGGTGGGCGCCTGTAGTCGCAGCTACTCGGGAGGCTGAGGCAGGAGAATGGCAGGAACCCGGGAGGCGGAGCTTGCAGTGAGCCGAGATCCCGCCACTGCACTCCAGCCTGGGTGACAGAACGAGACTCCGTCTCAAAAAAAAAGAAAGGTAACATGGCATTTTCTCTGTAAAATGGTAAAGAGGATAAGGGGAAAAGCTCTTTGAATTGATGACAGAACTATCTAGGGAATGTGCCAAGGCATCTTACAATTTCTTTCTTAGGGGATGTTATGGTCTAAATGCTGGAGTGTTTGCATGCAGAGGTATTTTGAGTTGGCATGAGGAATTGCTCACATTGCTTCTTCCCTAATGGTACATATAAGCCCTAGTATAAAAATATACTTTGGTTATAAAATAATAATAGCTTCATTTGGAACAGTTAGTAGCCAACCCTAGTGAGAATAATCTAAACACTCATTTTAGTGGACATAATCTATTATGGAAACCTGGGTCTTCACAAAGCTTTTGTATGAAAATGTTCTGTCTGTCATCCTCCCTTTGCCTCTCTCCTGCCAACCCCTTAATGGCATTGTGGAGTAGGCCATTTAGGAAGGATAAATTGGATTATTTTATCACAGACCCACTTTGGGGCCTTGTGACTTCATGCCAACACACGGTTGCTTTAGTGCTCTGGGTCCTGGAGGAAAGAAGTTGTAGGGTGCTGTAGAGGGGTATCTGATGAAGGCGGGATGAGGAAACCTTTTGCTCAGTCTCCAAAACTATTTACGTTATTGTTATATGAGATCTATAGGTCAGATTATCTTCTGGTGACAAATACGGAATTTCCAGAATTACGGATCATCTCATTCAAGCCTCTCTTCATGAGGAAACAGGCCATGGGTGACTCAGTGATCAAACTGAGGTCACACAGCCTCAGAGCCGGGGCCGTCCACCTCGTACCCCTCCCCAGCGTTCTGTGT